TGGCTGGCTGACTGCCAGGCTGGCAAGCTGGATGGCTGGCTGGATAGCAGGCTGGCTGCCTGGCTGGATAGCTGGGTGGCTGGCTGGCTGCCTGGCTGGATGACTGGCTGGCTGCCTGGCTGGATAGCTTGATGGCTGGATAGCTGGCTGGCTGCCTGGTTGGCTAGTTGGATGGCTTGCTGGATGGCTTGCTGGATGGCTGGCTGGCTGGCTGCTTGGCTGGCTAGCTGGATGGCTGGCTGGATGGCCGCCTGGCTGGGAGGATGAGGGTGCAGTGTAATGTTCGCTCAAGGATAAACAATGCTGAAGCTCTGGGAATTCAGCAGTTTTTCAGGGCGGCCAAAACCCGGGGTTTCATTGTACTGTACAGTTCAGCAGGGCCCTGCTTTATGGCATTTCACTTTACGGCGTTCCGCTAATATGGTCATTTCAAATTATGACCAAAACTCGCTATACGGCTCCCCCCACCTGACTTACTAATACGGTCACCGCGCTCCACCCTGTTTGTTTACATTCTTCGTGAGCTCAGTAAGCACTAAGTCTCTCCATTTTGTCTGGAAACTCCAAAATTTCAAATGTTTTTAAAAGTTATTTCATATTTTATATATACTCTGATAATTATACTTATGTATACCTGTACTTAAATAAACTTACATACTGTGCTGGCATGCAGGTACACATTAAAATCAGTAAGAGTGTCTTATGTCTGCAGACGTCATATTAGTAATGATAATAATAATCATCGAGTCTCATTTAAATGTCGTATATTACGTTAAATACACATTTTCATTAATCCATCTATGATATTTTTTCAAAATTATATAATAAACACGATACATAACATAAAAAGATGATAAATACACCCCACAATAGAATAAATAAACATAAATATGAGATGTGGTAGCAGATGACTTGCACAAGTGACGCCATATTAGAAATAATAATAATAATAATCACCGAGTCTCATTAAATGTTGTATATTACGTTAATATACACATTTTCATTAATCCATCCATGATATTTTTTCAAAATTATATAATAAACACGATACATGACATAAAAAGATGATAAATACACCCTACAATAGAATAAATAAACATAAATATGAGATGTGGTAGCCAGATAACTTGTACAAGTGATGCCAAGAATAACATTTTCTCTAATCTAACATAAGAGAAAATGTGTTACTGGGGGTAACTGTAGAAAATTATTCCTTTCGTATGTATGTAAGTAAGTTTATTCAGGTATACACAAATACAGTTACATAGATTATCATAAATAACAACATATGTGTAGAGAACCTAGGATAACCCAAAAAAAGTCAGTGTGACTTATTTCCATTGCCTTCACTCAGAGCATCATTTCTTCTCAAAATAATGTTACATGAGAATGGGAGTGTTCTTCTTTATTTATTCTACCGTATCAATGTAGAGACAACCTGTCACAATGTAACTTGTACACAAACCAGACGTGTACACTTCGTTTACAAAACTTACTTTCGCCTCTCTCATTTATTCGTTTTATCTCATTTACTTACTCCTGACCCTACAATAAGACTACAAATATTTTAAGGTAAGTAATGAGTGAACTGTATATACATTTTATCGCTCTGGGATACTTAAATGTAATAGAATATTATGTGTAGGTGGGTTGGCCTGGTATGGTAGCCTGGCTGACTACCATACATACCACACTTGATTTCTTACAATAAATACTACTCATCTCACCCTAGATTAAGACTATAAATATTTTAAGGTAAGTAATGAGTGCACTATGTGTGTATTGTACTTTTTTATTGTTTTTTGATGCCTGGTTCTATTGCTAACTTAATATATGTTAGTGTAAACTTGTTATCTAGTGTTTGTATGCATTTGTAAGTGGAAAAAAAGGGTGTTCCACTTTACGGCGGTTTCCGCTTTACGGCGGTAGCCTGGAACCTAACCAGCCATATAAGTGGGGCCTTCCTGCATATATATATATACAGTGAACCCCCGATTAACAATCTTTTTTCATTCCAGAAGTATGTTCAGGTACCAGTACTGACCGAATTTGTTCCCATAAGGAATATTGTGAAGTAGATTAGTCCATTTCAGACCCCCAAACATACACGTACAAACGCACTTACATAAATACACTTACATAATTGGTCGTATTTGGAGGTGATCGTTAAACGGGGGTCCACTGTATATATATATATATATACAGTAAGGCCCCGCTTTACGGCGTTTCGCCTTACGGCGTTCCGCTAATATGGCGATGTCAAATTTTGACCAAAATTTGCTATGCGGCAAGCGGTCTTTCAAATACGGCGCCCCCACCCGGTTTGTTTACATTTTCCGTGACCACATCTATTATGTCAGGAAACTTTCCAAAATTTCAAGTGTTTTAAAGTTACTGCATATTTTATATGTACTCTGATAATTATACTAATGTGTACCTGTACCTAAATATATTTACACATTGTGCTGGTGTGCAAGTACACATTAAAATCGCTAAGTCTCTCTCTACTCATGACGCCAATACTACGTAATAATAATCACTCTTGGGCACACTAAATATCTTATTTTACATAAATATAGGCATTTTCATTAATCCATCTATGATATTTTCCTCAAAATTATATATGAAACTCATTACATAGCATATAAACATGATACATACACTCAGAATAAAAATTGATGTAAACATAAGATTTGTTTACAAAGCAGCTGTGAAGGTAGTGTTGGAAGAATTACGTTTTCTCTAGTCAGACTGGGGGATAATTGTAGAAAAATATTCTTTTCATATGCCTTTACTCTGTGTATAGCAATTCACGACCCTTGTGGGTTTAGTGCATTTTATAATAAATAATAATACAGTGGACCCCCGCATAACGATATTAATCCATGCATGAGAGCTCATTGTTATGTGAAATTATCGTTATGCGAATGAATTTTCCCCATAAGAAATAATGGAAATCAAATTAATCCGTGCAAGACACCCAAAAGTATGAAAAAAAAAGATTTTACCACATGAAATATACATTTTCCTACACACAAAGAGAAGGATACATGCACAATAGTAGAGCAGTACATGCACAATATATCTTATGCATGTACTACTCTACTGAATGAAGAATAAATGACACTTACCTTTATTGAAGATGCAGCAATGACTGATAAGACACTGTGTCCTGGGAGTGCCTTTTCCTCCTGAGTACTGTAGGTCCTGTTTGGCATTTTCTTCCAGAACAGGCCTTATCACACTGTGTATGTCACTACGATTCTTAAATCTCTCAAACCAACCTTTGCTGGCTTTAAATTCACCAATATGAGCACTAGTTCCAGGCATTTTTCCCTGTTCAACTGGGTGTTAGTCGACTGGTGTGGGTTACATCCTGGGAGACAAGATTGAGGACCCCAATGGAAATAAGTTAGACAGTCCTCGATGATGCACTGACTTTCTTAGGTTATCCTGGGTGGCTAACCCTCCGGGGTTAATTGTTTCACGTTAAGCCACACCAACAACACTCTCTCCACATCTTCGAGTAATACAGCTGATGGTGGTGCAGCAACAACAACAGCTGTGGTGCAGCTGACCATGGTGCAGCTGCAGCTGTGGTGCAGCAGCAGCTGTGGTGCAGCAGCAGCTGACTGTGGTACGATAGTATTTATAACCCTTTTTACCACAGGGTTGGCACTAGAAGCTTTCTTTGGGCCCATGGTGGCTTATTTAGCAGTTACAAGCACTATAAATAATGGAATAATACAAAATGTATCGAATGTATGCATGCAACCAGCCACCCTGGCTTGTAAAGAATCTTTTCCCGATGTTAATGACACCAAAAGTATGGCAGCTTACTTTGTATGGGGATGCCAGTCTCACAAAAGTTGAATGTATATACAGAGACAGAATATACACTAGAGATTTACATTTTAGTGCATATAAATATCCAGCTATTTAGAGACACCTCCACATAAACTCTGAATTCTTCAGGAAATGGTTAATCACTTCAGTGTTAATAATGAGATACGATATAAAAAAATTGAGATTGTATCTACACATTGTACCAGCTAATTGAATGAGCATACATAGTTAGTGACTAACATTTAGTGGAAACAATGAAGAAAATTAAAATTGTATGTTCCTGTTGCATAGTAAAAATTATTAGCTACAAGATAAGATTGTAAAGGAAATAATGGTAATATCTTAACAGTGTAAGTAACTATGCAGAGTAGGGTCTGAGAAAGATACACTATAACCTTTGTTATCCTGGCTTTTGAGCTAATACTTTCAGGATGTGCTGTAGGTGTACATTAAAGAGCCCATCAGATGCCATGATGTGTTTTGTGTTACATTTTGTGACAGTGAATAATCATGTACTGTACTAGACAGTCAGGTTTGTGACTGTGATACTGGAATTAAACAGAGATTGAATGTCTATTATACCGTTCGCTCGGTGGCTTCCTGTTTTGTGTTTACTCTCCAAAACTCTTTATTATCTGTACGTATTATTGCATTTGTTGGTGTTATGGTATCACTGTTTAAAATGGTTAAAATTGTCAAGAGACAAAATTTTAACCATAACAAGCCTAACCTAATTAATGTAAATCAAGAAATTTTCCAAATAGCATGTATGAAATTTACTTGGGAGTTAGGACAGGTTAAACCATACCCCCGGCCGGGATTGAACCCGCGGTCATAGAGTCTCAAAACTCCAGCCCGTCACATTAGCCACTAGACCAGCTAGCCACAATAAGATTCATCCAACTAGGTATATTTCTACACCATAGAAAGGTTAGCACAGGCACCTCTGTGACCACAAATGCAAGTTTTTACAGACGAATCTCCAGCTAGCGTGGCCGTGACGAACTCTAGCTCAAGTCCCTTCACTGCCGTCAACATGACTCAAGAAATCGTAATGACACGATTGCAAACAAACCATACCCCCGGCTGGGATTGAACCCGCGGTCATAGAGTCTCAAAACTCCAGCCCGTCGCGTTCAATCCCGGCCGGGGGTATGGTTTGTTTGCAATCGTGTCATTACGATTTCTTGAGTCATGTTGACGGCAGTGAAGGGACTTGAGCTAGAGTTCGTCACGGCCACGCTAGCTGGAGATTCGTCTGTAAAAACTTGCATTTGTGGTCACAGAGGTGCCTGTGCTAACCTTTCTATGGTGTAGAAATATACCTAGTTGGATGAATCTTATTGTGGCTAGCTGGTCTAGTGGCTAACGCGACGGGCTGGAGTTTTGAGACTCTATGACCGCGGGTTCAATCCCGGCCGGGGGTATGGTTTGTTTGCAATCGTGTCATTACAATTTCTTGAGTCACGTTAGGACAGGTTAATTGTGAAAACAATCTGTTACAAAAAAAAATTAATGTATCTGTTCTTCAGAATTTTTGTATGAACATTAAATTTCTGTATATAATTACACTTCTATTAACCCTTTGACTGTCGCAAGCCCCTTTCTGAAACTGTCATTCTATGTTGAAAAATTTTTGGAAAAAAAAAAATTATTTTTTTTCTTATGAAATGATAATCTTTTCCCTATGGTAATGACACCAAAAAGTACGAAATTTGATCGAACACTTACCGAATTACGCCCCCGCAAAGTTAGCGATCTCAGCGATATATACGCATCGGTGATTTTGCTAACTTTGAGCCCTATTTTCGGCCAATTCCATTATTCCAGTCGACCAAACTCATAGCTATTTCTTTAGAACTCCATTTTTTCTATCAATTGAGTACAAAAAAACACCCATTTACCGATTTCAACTACCCAATGAATTGGTCAGAAATTGACAATTTGGCCAATTTCACGCAAATTAAAAAAGATGCCAATTTCGAAATAGCGTCCAGAATACACAATGCAGACATTCTCTGCACTAAAATAACATATCCTCTGTTCATTAGTCATATCCCTAGGCCCCTCTTATATTACTCTTGCTTTCTATTTTGATTTTTTATTCACACAAAAAATAGAAGATTTACTGTTATGCAGACTACTGCATTATTTTAAAAATGGTATAAATAATATCAGTGCACTAGTGAAATAAATATTATTAGATTCCCCAGTTGAAGTGTATTGGACGTGTGGTGTGATTTTCTTACTCTTGAACATTGGTAAAAATCGAACATTTCTGCTACTTTGAGCTCAATTTCAAGGTCGTTTTCATCATGAAACTAATAAAAATCATCTCTACTTCTGTAATATGTTTTTCATTCTATAAAATGAGACCAAGAAAATGAGAATACAACCATAAATACAATACGAAAATACACCTCAAATTCGGTGTTTTAATCCAAAAACACAGTGAGTTTTTTTTCTCATTATGCACTGCAGGATTTTTTTTATATAGTGCACACTGACTACACAGACCCCTTCTCTCACATGTGGGCCTACCAGCTTTCTCCTGCTTGATTTGAAGCCGCTAGAATTATTGAATATACTGTATGTACGTCCAAAACGCTGGCTCGTAAGACGTATATATACGACCGAAACAGTCAATGGGTTAATGTACAGTATTTCTCTTCAGCTTAACATCTTACATTGCAACTCAGGAGAGGGAGGCTAAACTCCATCACTGTCACACACTTTACTGCAATCCTAATGGCTAATATCATATATGCTGTAATTTTTCTTTCAGATACATACTTATCTCTCTCACATACTTTTGTCATCTTACCAAGGTTTTGTTTTAATGAGCTTGTATTTTTTGAACTGGTACATACTTATAGTGGTACCTCGGGATACGAACAGCTCAAAACGCGAACAATTGTGTAAGTGTTTTTATGTAAGTGCTTTGGAAGTGTATTTTTGGGGGTCTGAAACGGATTAATCTAATTTACATTATTGCTCATGGGAACGAATTCGTTTGGTATCAGCACTCGAACAGCCTTCTGGAATGAAATAAGTTCGTATCCCGAGGTACCACTGTAATTGAAACATGAATGTTGATGTATAGCATTGGTTACCCCCTACTTTTAACCATCTATTATATTTGCGATTCAGTATCATTTATTCTTTAAAAAGAAATTTAACTAAAGCCTACTACTAGCTTACGAACATCCCCAGCAACTTACTTGAGGTTCAGTTATTGGAAGAATAAACATTAAAATGTAAAGGAATTTTTATTTTCATACCTTCAAACACTAGAGCAAGAATCTTTGATACATAGTAACTTTAATTTTCACTTGATATGAATTTGTACAATTTAGTAATATACACGTGTGTGTGTGTGTATGTCTGTGTGTGTCTGGCGTGTCTGTTTGTCTATATGTCTGTTTATGTATATCTATATATGTATGTATATATGTATATCTGTTTATCTGTATGTCGGTATATGTGTGTGTAAAAGAAGTAAATGCTAGTGTATTGGGGAGAGGGGTGGGATTAAATTATGGGGAATCAAATACAAAATGGGAATTGACGCAGTTACTTTTTGCTGATGATACTGTGCTTTTGGGAGATTCTAAAGAAAAATTGCAAAGGTTAGTGGACGAGTTTGGGAGTGTGTGTAAAGGTAGAAAGTTGAAAGTGAACATAGAAAAGTGTAAGGCGATGAGGGTATCAAATGATTTAGATAAAGAAAAATTGGATATCAAATTGGAGAGGAGTATGGAAGAAGTGAATGATTTCAGATATTTGGGAGTTGATGTGTCAGCAGACAGATGTATGAAGGATGAGGTTAAGCATAAAATTGATGAAGGAAAAAAGGTGAGTGGTGCATTGAGGTATATGTGGAGACAAAAAACATTATCTATGGAGGCAAAGAAGGGAATGTATGAAAGTATAGTGGTACCAACACTCTTATATAAGTGTGAGGCGTGGGTTGTAAATGCTGCAGCAAGGAGGCGGTTGGAGGTGGTGGAGATGTCCTGTCTAAGGGCAGTGTGTGGTGTAAATATTATGCAGAGAATTCAGAGTGCAGAAATTAATAAAAGTTAATAAAAGTATTAGTCAGAGGGCTGAAGAGGGGTTGTTGAGGTGGTTTGGTCATTTAGAGAGAATGGATCAAAATAGAATGGCTTGGAGAACGTATGAATCTGTAGGGGAAGGAAGGCAGAGTAAGGGTCATCCTTGAATAGGTTGGAAGGAGGGGGTAAAGGAGGTCTTTTGGGCAAGGGGCTTGGACTTCCTGCAAGCATACATGAGTGTGTTAGATAGGAGTGAATGGAAACGAATGGTATTTGGGACCTGACGAGCTGTTAGAGTGTGAGCAGGATAATATTTAGTGAAGGAATTCAGGGAAACCGGACTCGAGTACTGGAAATGGAAAGTACAATGCCTGCACTTTAAAGGGGGGGTTTGGGCTATTGGTGGTTTGGAGGGATGTGTTGTGTATCTTTATGCGTATATGCTTCTAAACTGTTGTGTTTCTGGGCACCTCTGCAAAAACAGTGATTATGTATGAGTGTGGTGAAAGTGTTGAATAATGATGAAAGTATTTTCTTTTTTGGGGATTTTCTTTCTTTTTGGGTCACCCTGCCTCAGTGGGAGACAGCCAACTTGCTAATATATATATATATAATATATATATATATATATATATATATATATATATATATAAATATTTTATTATATATATATATATATATATATACGGGAGGGCCCCGTTTTAAACGGCGTTCCGCTTTACGGCGTTCCGCTAATACGGACATTTAAAATTTATGACCAAACTCACTATACGGGCTCCCCCCACCTGACTTTCTAATAGGGTCACCGTGCCCCACCCTGTTTGTTTACATTCTCCATGAGCTCAGTAAGCACTAAGTCTCTCCTTTTTGTCTGGAAACTCCAAAATTTCAAATGTTTAAAAGTTATTTCATTTTTTTATATAACTCTGATAATTAACTTATGTAACCTGTACCTAAATAAACTTACACACATCAAGTCATTTAAATGTCGTTTTTTACGTTAATATACACATTTTCATTAATCCATCCATGATATTTTTTTCAAAATTATATAATAAACACGATGCATAACATATAAATAAGATAAATACACCCCCACAGTAGAATAAATAAACATAAATGTGAGCTGTGTAGCAACGACTTGCACAAGTGGGTGATAATAACAATACTGAGTCTCATTAAATTCGTATATTACGGTAATATACACATTTTCATTAAACCAGCCCCTGATATTTTTTTCAAAATTATATAATAAACACGATGCTAACATATAAATAAATAAATACACCCCACAGTAGAATTAAAAAAAACATAAAAGTGAGCTGTGTAGCAGACGACTTGCACAAGTGGTGATAATAACAATACTGAGTCTCATTAAATGTCGTATATTACGGTAATATTTCACATTTCATTAATCCAGCCATGATATTTTTTTCAAAATTATATAATAAACACTATAACATAACATATAAATAAGATAAATACACCCCACAGTAGAATAAAATAAACAAAAAATGTGATCTCTGGTAGCAGACGACTTCCACAAGTGACGCCATAATAACAATAGTCACGGAGTCTCATTAAATGTCGTATATTACGGTAATATACACATTTTCATTAACCCATCCATGATATTTTTTTCAAAATTTATATAATAAACACGATGCATAACATATAAATAAGATAAATACACCCCACAGTAGAATAAATAAAACATAAATGTGATCTGTGGTAGCAGAGACTTCCACAAGTGGTAATAATAACAATAGTCACGGAGTCTCATTGTTTTGTTTACTCTGTCCCTGGCCTTCACCTCTCATGTATTCATTCTTTCTCTCTCTCATTTATTCGTTTTATCTCATTTACTTACTCCTGACCCTACATTAAGACTACAAATATTTTAAGGTAAAATAATGAGTGAAAATGTAATACATTTTATCGCTCTGGGATGCTTAAATATCATAGAATAGTATGTGTGGGTGGGGTGGCCTGGTGAAATAGCCTGCCTATTACAATACATACCACTTGATTCTTACAATAAATACTACTTGTCTCACCCTAGATTAAGACTATAAATATTTTAAGGTAAGTAATGAGTGCACTATGTGTATTGTACCTTTTTATTGTTTTTTGATGCTGGTTCTTTGCTAACTTAATATATGTTAGTGTAAACTTGTTATCTAGTGTTTGTATGCATTTATAAGTGGAAAAAAAGGGTGTTCCACTTTACGGCGATTTCCGCTTTACGGCGGTAGCCTGGAACCTAACCGCCGTATAAGTGGGGCCTACTGTATATTATATAAATCACACACACAACACACACACACACATACACACATACACACACACACACACACACACACACACACACACACACACACACACACACACACACACACACACACACACACACACACATATGTGTGTGTGTGTGTACAGTGGAGGCTCGCCTAACGATATTAATCCATTCCTAAGAGCTTATCATTAGCCGAATTAATTTTCCCCATAAGAAATAATGGAAATCAAATTAATCTGTTCCTGACACCCCAAAGTATGAAAAAAAAAAATTACCACATGAAATATACATTTTTATACACCCAAAAAGAAGAAGACATGCACAATTACTACTCTTCTAAATAACGAATACATGACACTTTATTGAAGATCTGGTGATGATTGATGGGATGGGAGGAGGGGAGATGGTGGAAGTTGTTATTGTTTGGAATGGGAATCCCCTTCCATGAGGACTTGAGGTAGCAAGTCTTTTTCTGGGGTTACTTCCCTTCTTCTTTTAATGCCGCTAGTAGCAGCTTGAGAGTCACTGGACCTCTGTCGCACAACAAATTTGTCCATAAAGCTCTGTACTTCGCGTTCCTTTAAGATTTGCCTAAAATGGGCCATAACATTGTCATTGTAATAGTCACCAGCACGGCTTGCAATAGCTGTGTTAGGGTGATTTTCATCCATAAAAGTTTGCAGTTCAATCCACTTTGCACATATTTCCTTAATCTCTTCTTTCAATTCCATGCTAATTCTTGCCCTTTTTACCACAGGGATGGCACTAGAAGCTTTCTTGGAGTCCATGGTGACTTATTTTGAGTTACAAGCACTAAAAACACTGGGATAATGTGAAATTTACCGAATGTATGCATGGATGTGACCGCATTGGCTGGCTTGTAAACACTGGTGCTGAGGCCACACGTGGGACGCGTCCCGGGAGAATCACGTAAGGCGAGTTTTTTATTGTGAGGCGAGGCAAAGTTTTTGTATTCAAATGCTTCCTATGGCGGATTTAAAGTAATGCAATGCGTTTGTAAGGGTCCACTGGTATATATATATATATATATATATATATATATATATATATATATAATATATATATATATATATATATATATATATAATATATATATATATATATGAGACCCTCGACCAACGATGGCATCGTCTAACGTTAAATCTGACTAGCAATACATTTTAACGCAAAAATTTTGCCTCAACTAGCGCTAAAAAACTCAACCAACACGATTCGTTCCGTTCGAGATGCGTCCACTTGTGGCCAGTGTTTACAAGCCAGCCAGCCACTGCAGTCCCATCCAAACATGCAATCGGAACATTTCATATTATCACAGCGTTTTTAGTGATTGCACCTGCAAAATAAGTCACCATGGGCCCCAAGAAAGCTTCTAGTGCCAACCCTACAGCAAAAAGGGTGAGAATTACAATGGATATGAAGAAAGAGATTATTGCTAAGTATGAAAGTGGAATGCATGTCTCTGAGCTTTCCAGGTTGTACACAAAACCCCAATCAACCATCGCTACTATTGTGGCCAAGAAAACGGCTATCAAGGAAGCTGTTCTTGCCAAAGGTGCAACTATGTTTTCGAAACTGAGATCGCAAGTGATAGAAGATGTTGAGAGACTGTTATTGGTGTGGATAAATGAAAAACAGATAGCAGGAGATAGCATCTCTCAAGCAATCATATGTGAAAAGGCTAGGAAGTTGCATGACGATTTAATTAGAAAAATGCCTGCAACTAGTGGTGATGTGAGTGAATTTAAGGCCAGCAAAGGTTGGTTTGAGAGATTTAAGAATCATAGTGGCATACATAGTGTGATAAGGCATGGTGAGGCTGCCAGTTCGGACCAAAAAGCAGCTGAAAAATATGTGCAGGAATTCAAGGAGTACATAGTAATATAATTTTTA